CAAACAACCAAACAAAATCCATGATCTCAAGAGCTTTTACACCTCAAAACCAAAGTAAGAACAATTAAAAGAATAAATATCCCAGTTGAAGATCCACCTACCCTGTGAATCCAGTAAGGGTCCAACCTGCTAAATCCATGCTCTAAGTAAGCTGATACTGCTATGCCTATTATAAGAACCAGCAGCAAAACCGGCAAAAAATAGCAAGATAAGTACGAATCTTCTTCATCGTCCTCTGGCTCAGGCATCGATTGACGATCAATGTAAAGAGGCGAAAGTATAGCAACAATCGCTAAAGCCATTGCCAATATTTTCTTGTCGTGGGACGATAATCTGTTGCTAATCCGTATTATTGCTCCTTCTTGCTCCATTCAAAGGACCTTTCGAAATACCACTTTGAAGTTTGAAGTGATCTTTGTATGAAAGGCTTCAAAAATAAGCAGTTGGAATGTAGAGATTTGAAGATAAGAATATATAGATATTATTAAAAGAAATGTATGGTCCAATTATCTGAAGAACTATTGGTGGTGCAGGATGTAAGGGAATCTGAATCTGATTCTAGCAAGCATTTAGTGTTTCTAATTTATATTCCTGGCTAGCCTGATTGGAAAATAGGAAATAAATTTATTAAAACATAAAATAAGTTTTTGGAATTCTAACTAAACTACATATTATAAAACCGTGGAAAACAGTGGTAGAATTCTAACTAAACTACATATTATAAAAGAAAAAGGAAATCATTCATTCGTATCTTGAAATGAAAANACAAAAAATGTCGAAAAGAACTTAAACTTCACATCTAGAACTCGTGGACTTGCTTCCTGAAAACCTTCTCATCATCCACTTCTTGTGTGATGAGGTAAGGCGAAATGACGTTTTAGGATTTTCAATACCTATCAATCCTTCGGTGGGTGGAAGTTCAGCAGGCAGTGCAGCAGCCGAGCTCGTAAATACATCTAAAACAAGAAATGCTAATATTGGCGACAAATCAAGTCCACCTTGTGGTGGGATAATTCCTCGGAATAGGTTCAAGTATGGATCACATATAGTGCTGAAAAAGTAGAGAAAATGCATATCAGAGTACAATCTTCAGCTTAAACAAAAGTTAGTCTCAAGATTATCTCTTTCATGTTATATCTTCATTCATTCACACAATGTAACGAAAAAAAAAAAAAAAANAAAAAAAAAAAAAAAAAAACGATCTAAGTGGTGTGACTTGTACCTAAGTGGGTTGACGATTGCTGGAGGGGCATTAGGGAACCAAGTTAAGACGAGCCTCAAGACTAACACAGTGTTGTAAATGTTTAAGAAATTCGAGATCCCGTTTGTCACGACGAGTCCAGCCAAAGAATCTCCTGGTAAAATGGCGGCAAAATTTGAATTGGAGGGCACAGACAAATTCCACCTTTTCATTCTTGGAAGCTGGAAATACGAATTTCGTTCAAGGGCAAGCATTGATCAGTATAACCACAGCAATAAACTCAAGACTCAACTCATTGAGAAATCGGAAACTTAGAAATCACTACCCAAAAATTGCATTTCATCTATGCAGTTAAATTCGGTAGGTGAACATAAAACAGAATATCAAAAGCAGAAAACAGAACATTCTATAATTCTGTATAAGCTTCTCCATGTGTTCACCGGTTACGCATCAACTGCCACTCACTTAATTGAACATAACACAAACATAATCAAGAACAAAATAAACAACAGAATAAAAAACGTGCAAATTGTTGCAGATAAAACCTGCAAAAACCCATTTCTTTTAAACTTGACGGGTCTGTTTTGGTATAAACTGAACCTCAATGTAATCTTCTATTATACCACATATCAATTTATCTGAAATCAGAAGACAAACATTATACACCTAAAAAAAGCTCAAATCTTTTGAACGACTGATGCTATATTCCTATCATAAATCTCATAAACAACAGGTAAAAGATAAACCTTAATAAATGTTAGTAACTCGCTGCAGCTATCAACAATGAAGCTTTTTCATACCTGGCGGCCATTTTGAACACAAGCACAAAAGGACAAAACTTTATCTAGAACCCTATTTTGGGACCTCAAATTGTCCACCATCTTGAAACAGTTCTCAACATTAAAAGCTACGAATTTCTGAACTTCACGAACAACCTTCGTAGTCTCCATCAAGAACCTCGAGTTGGGATTCGAACAGAATGGCTGTCTGGAAAAGGGAGAGCTGTGAATAAAATAGAAAGGAGGGGAGGAAAGTGGAAATATGAGAAACTGTGTGGCTGTTTTTCTAGCATTAATTTTCGGCTTCTCCACTGCCTCTGGTGACTGGTTTGAGGAAAGGCATGTATCCATGTTTGATTGCTCACAGTCAAGTTGCAGGAGATAAAAAGATGAAGATGTGGATATTTTCATATTTTAAAAGGTGAAAATATTATTTTTTATGAAAATATAAATAAATTTAAAATTATGAATGAATCCACCTTCTTTATTCTACAAGACTAACACTCGCCCACATGCACAAATATAATATAAAAATTATAAATTATATAATGATAATATACTTTAAAAATTTAAACATTAGTAAAAATAAACAGTACAAAACTATTTAGTTGCATGTGAAACAATATATTGGTTAGATAAAATGTAATGCATAATATAATTTTTATAATTTTTAGGGATCATGACAATTATTCAGTTAAAATATAAATAAATATAGTATTTTAAAGGGTTTGGCTATACCATTCACACCAATTGGTTTACATAAAAATAACAACTTAATGAGATAATACTATTATATTAATTTTAGAATAAAAATAAATTACTACATAATTTTTTATATTTTTTGTAATTTTCATTGTAAAATATACTCAGTTAGTTTTAGTAATAACTATTTTGAAATAGCCAATAATAACTATAATTATTATTTGATTCATATATAAAGTATAACGGTTTATGTCATAGTTGCCTTAAAAAAAGAGCGGGGACCAAAATTTTTTTACATTAAATTATTTGTCCCACTTTATAGAATACTAGTATTCCATCATGTGTACATGCACAAAGACAAATAAAAGTTTATATATTATATGTATGTCTATAGTATTTAATTAGACAATGTGTGTCGTATTTTAAATTTCTGACTATATCTAAATGTACAATATAAATATAAACTATTTTACTTACATATGAACCATTATATTGATTACATAAAATATAATGGATAATGTAATTTTAATTTAAAGGAACCATCCATTTAGTTAGTTAGAAAAGTATTATAATTATTTTTATTATTGATTTAACAACTGTTTATGTGTTTTTAAGGAGTTTAATTATGGCACTCATACCAATTAACTAATAATTATTATGATTTGTATCAGTTGGATAACCTATAATTATATATATAGAGATGATGATGATGATGATGATAATAATAATAATAATAAAAAAATAATAATAGTAATAATAATAATAATAAGGGAAAATTACACTTTACCTACCCAACTATTCGCTTTTTTACACTTTGCCCACCAAACTTCGTTTTGCGACACTTAACCAGGCAAACTCCGTAAAATGGCACTTCACCTGTTTCCGGTCACCGGCAGCCATTCTCAGGGGCGTTTATGTCTTTTCCTTCTCTGAAACAGGGATAAAATTGTCTGAACATATATCCTCTCTTACAATTGATCTTATAAAACCTAAATCGAAGAAAAAAAATCCCCAAATTGCAAAAACCTAAATTGAATCTTGAAGAAATGGCGGAAGAGGCGATCTGGAGGCAAACATCTGAAGTCACTTTGGATGAGTATTGTAGGTGCGGAAAGAAGACGGTGATGATCACATCTTGGACAGACGACAACCCGGGAAGGCGGTATGCAGCCTGCAAAAAAGGACGGGTACATTTTTTTTCTCCTTTTGTGTAGAAAATCCTAATTAAGTGGATGGGTAAGCTTAAAACAATTTGATATGATAGATAGTATAATTTTTTTTTTCTCGTCAGAAGGGCTGCAAATATTATGTTTGGATCGACCCTCCAATGTGCACAAGAGCTTGACAAATCATCCCAGGGCTTAAGAGGCGTGTTGACGAGGCTGAAGCCGAGTTGGCAAGCCAGAGAAAACGGGCAAAAAAAATGTGGTTTGCTCTTGTTGCTTCTTGGATCATTCTGTATTTTTTTTTGAAAAAATGAAGTAGTTTGGTGGTTTAATGTGTAAGACTTGTTTTGGTAGAATGTGAAAGAATTCTGTAATGTTTAAGACATGATTGTGTGGAATTTTGTAATGTAATGTGTAAGACTTTTTTATGTAGTTCGGTTGTGCAATGAATTTGCTTGAAGATGTAATGTTGTCCCTTGTGCAATGTGTAAGTAATTTTTTTCGTTGTGCATTGAATAGATTGTGAAGATTCTGTCATGAATCTTTGAGTTACAATTGACACAAAACCCATCACAATATGTTAAACTCAAACAAACAAAATATCTTTGTCTGGGACTTTTCAAAGAACTGAAATGGCAATCTGGCATTTGTTACTTGAATAATTCCAAAGCTGTGCAAATTCTGAGTTCATCTGAACATGTTGGCAATCAATATGAATCACTGGTTGAAGATATTATATCTTTGTCTTCATTCATTGTTAAACTACACCATTCATTCATCCATTTTCCAACATAAGCCACTGTCAATACAACACAATCTGATAGGACATAAACTTCACCATTCATTCATTGTTAAACTACACCATTCATTCATCCATTTTCCAACATAAGCCACTGTCAATACAACACAATCTGATAAGACATAAACTTCACCATTCATTCATTGTTAAACATCAACATTCTAACAAAACATTGCCCAAAAACCAAAAAGCAAAAACCAAACTGTGGAACTTGCCAACAAAAAACACACCAAAAACAAAAGCAAAAAAAAAGTGCATGACCATTCATTACAATTGTCTGTAGAACTTGCCAACAAAAACACACCAAACTGTTGAAAACTTCACATTATCTAATGCCTAGCTTTTTCAGGGGTCTTGTTCCTCTTATCCTTCCCCTTGTGAATGTTCATTTTTTTGGCTTTAGGTGCATTCTGAGATTGTTGGGTAGTAGCAACTTTGAAAGGCTCAGCTCCACCACAAACACCCACTTCAAGAACTCTTTTAGTACCCTGTGAAAAAAGTATATAAATCAGATAACAACAATTAGATTTCTGAGATGTGTTTGTTACTACCTAATCATGAACTTCACCATAACAGAATTAAATTAAGTAATTATTACCTTACTGTTTGCCCTTGTAGCCTACAATGCAAAAATAAAGGGTTAGAGAACAACAATTACATTTCTATAAATCAGATAACAAAAAATGTTTATAAACTATACCATTCTTCCAGTTTCATTTGGTGATGCAGAAGCTGGATTTTTAGTTCTTGATCTTGTGGCCTACAAATACAAAATAAACTGAGATTAATGAACAAAACTTAGAAAATATATAATGATTACAACTAATTGTTATAAATTGTACCACTCCTCCAACTTCATTTGTTGTTGACAACACATTTGACCCTTCACTTCTTGATGCAGAAATTGGTTTGTTAATTCTTGATCTTGTGGCCTAAAATGCAAATAAACTGAGATTAATGAACAAAAATTAGAAAATAAAAAATATTACACCTAATGATTATAAATTGTACCACTCCTCCAACTTCATTTTCTGTTGACAACACAGTTGACCCTTCACCTCTTAATGCAGAAACTGGTTTAATTCTTGATCTTGAGGCCTACAATGCAATATAAACTGGGTTAATGAACAGAAAATGAAAAATATAAATTGTGATTACAACAAATGATTGTAATTTGTACCTTTCTTGCATTCTCATTGGCAGCCGGCACATCTAACCCTTGAGTGGTTTTTTCAGAAACAGGTTTTTTAGGACAACCCCTAGCATTATGATTTGGTTGCTTACAAAATGAACATTTCATGACCACTCCTTTTTTGCTGAGCCTCACACCATTGCCAGTTTGATGTGTACTCAGTTTTTTTCCACTGGTTTCATCTTTGCTTCTCCTCCTTTGATATTTCTTGGGTCTTCCAGGTAATCTCCCAACTGCTGGTGGGACTAATGGATGAGCCTCAACCTCAGGCCACTCATCTGAGCTAGCTAAAGTTCCCATCAAATGACTGTAAACCCTTAAGTAAGTTTCTTTCTTCAATGATTCATCAACATAATCCTCAGGTTCATGACCTAAGTAATACATCCCTGATATGGCATGTTGACAAGGGATGCCACTGAGCTCCCACTTTCTACAAGTGCATGTTTTCTCACCAATGTGAACTTTAAACTTGGTTCCTGAACTGCCCTCAACTTCAAACTGGTCCTTACCATTCCAATATGCCACAAATTCCATGCTCTTCTTTTTCAATTCTTCAAGCAGCTTATCAATTCTAGGGCACAGATTTCCATGGTATTTCAGCATTTTATCCCTTTTAACATGGATTCTCTTCATCAGTGTCATCCTCACCATCTCTAACATTTTCACTATTGGTTGAGATCTAGCCTTTATAATCAAAGCATTGAAACTTTCTGACAAGTTATTCAACAGAGCATCACACTTAGAGTGTGTACTGAAGTGAGACCTAGACCAATGTGCAGGTGGCCTAGCATTTAACCATTCAAAGGCAGGTACATCCCTTTGTTTCAGCTCCATCATTGTGTTCTTGAAATCTTGAACTCTGGTGGCTCTTGCAGCTTTCCACAGCAAAGTCTTAAGAGCTAGGCCCTTATGTGAGGCTTTGAAATTGGCATATAGATGTTGCACACAAAATCTATGCTCAGCCCCAGGTAGAAGAGTGTCAATGGACTCTACCAAACCCTTCTGCTTATCTGACATGAATGTCCAATGGTAGGGGTTTCTAATATTCAAATCATTAATTAGTAACTCCAGAAACCAGCTCCAAGATTTTTTCTTCTCCTTTTCAACTACTGCATATGCAAAGGGATACATGCCATTGTTGGCATCTATGCCCACAGCAGTCAACATAACCCCCCCAATTGATGTCTTTAAATGACACCCATCTAAGAATATCACTGGCCTACACCCATCTAACAACCCATCCCTTAAGGCTCCCCAGCATATATATAACCTTTTGAAAAAAGTTTGTTCCCCAATCCTCTTACACTTGATTTTGACTGAAGTGCCAGGATTTGTCTTTCTAATCTCAGCAGCATAGGACCACAACATAGCAAACTGTTCACAATGTCCCCCAGACCCACTTGCTAACACTTTCTGTTTGGCCCTATATAACTGACTAGTGTTGAAAACAAGTTTGTGCTCACTCTGCATGACTTTCTGCATGGACTCAACAGGCCATCTAGGATCAGACCATATTTTTTCTCTATAAGTTTCAGCCAACCATTTGGAGTTGGCATGAGACACCCTTTGATTCCTAGGGCACCTGTGTATGGGGTTATAATTCCTAACTTGAACACTGTCTTCACCTGACAACACTGCAGCATAAATGACCCATGGACACTTTTGATGCTTACATTTCACCTGAACTTTGGTCTTCTCATTAATTTTGAAACAAACATCTCTACCATTTTTTATTGCACTTTCTCTCACTGCTTTTCTGAATTGGGCCATATCAGGAAAGAACATTCCTAATTCAAACTTAGGGTTATTCATATCTGACTTCTCATTGAAAATTGCATGACCCTTATGACCCTTACTACTTTCTGCTCTAGTTTTGACAGACTTTGAAATATTTTGAGATAAGTCCATCCCCACACCCCCAAACTCCACATCAAGATCAATATTATCATCAAACCAATCATTATCACATTCAAAATCAGATTTCTCTCCTTCACTGTCATCAAAAGTTTCAGATAGTTCAGAATCTGACCCTAGGGATTGCTCATCATCACTACTCAAACCATTATCAAAAGTGCCCCTACCCCTATCATGATCATCCACATTACCACACATAGAAGAAGGATTTTCAATCAGTTCATATTCATCATTATCACCTTCATTATCACCTATAAATTCCAAAGGCTCACTAATTGCAGGAAGTTCAACTGAGTTTTCAGAGGTGCTTATTTCATGTTCCACATACAGACCAACTAATTTATGTTCATCCACCATAAACACCATTTGCATGACAATATGATCATTTTCTAACAACACAAGGTCATTGCAGTCATTAACACCACTCCTACTGCAGTACACATTTTTTATAGCATCAATCCCTAAATCTTCTAGCATGCTCATTACTTCAATCAATGACATTTCATCAGGATGACAATAATCGACATGTGAAATCTCACCATTTAGATAACACTTGCGGCCCAAATCCACAAACTTGCCACAATGGTAAACCCTAATTGTAAAATATTCATCATTTGGTCCTGCAACCCATATGACAATTACAAAAATATAATCAATCACTATAAACTGCAAAATTATTACAATAATTGTTGTATGAATTAACATATTTTGTCAGCAAAAAACACAAAACAAGACTTACCATATGACGGACCATTCGCACTGGATGAATCGTTTTTCTCACGAATTTGCCAACCCATTACAAACGATTTGAAGAAAATATAGATTTTCAATCAGTTCATTTGGTTTGTTCTTCTTTGTTTTTTCTCAGAATTTTTGGCACGATTTGAACAAAACTAGGGGTTTTTTCTCTTTCAGTCGGGTTTAATTGAACCCCAATTGAGAATTGGGAATTTTATCCCTGTTTCAGAGAAGGAAAAGACATAAACGCCCCTGAGAATGGCTGCCGGTGACCGGAAACAGGTGAAGTGCAACATTTTACGGAGTTTGCCTGGTTAAGTGTCGCAAAACGAAGTTTGGTGGGCAAAGTGTAAAAAAGCGAATAGTTGGGTAGGTAAAGTGTAATTTTCCCTAATAATAATGTTGATATCCGAGTTGGGCACATACGAAATTTCTAGTTTAAAGATAAGGAACCGAAGGAGGCCGATCCGGTCACTAGGGCCGGTCATCTAATTGTCTCAGAGGCGCCGAGCTGATCAAGGACCAAAGTCAACCAGGGTGACACGTTACGCCATATCCGAGGTCGACATCCGGATCATTCCGCTCAGAAGCCAACCTGATTAGGTGCCGAACAGAGAAACAGGATTCAGGAGACTGGAGAACGAACCAGCAGCCGAAGTCCGACCTGGGAGTTTTATCAAGTCGACTTTCATGGAAGTCGAGGATATGGGAAACAATATTATAACGCCACTTGTCAATCAATGATTACCGATGGGATGTCTCAGGCTAACCTGCAGACCTAGGACGTCTAACCCGGCCTAAGAGCATGTCCGCATTTAATTGGAAAATCCACAAATTACTCCCAATCAGTCAGAAAAGCACCGGCCTGTTCCTTAGAGCCACTGTACGACTTGACAGCATGAATCGTGGAGGAACATTACCTCATTCAATGCCACTATAAATAAAAGATCCTCTTATTTGTTTGGGGGTTGTTGAATATGTATTTACTCTACATTCTCTCTACTTTCTCTCTCTAGAACTTGTAATAATTTCTTGTAAGAATTCCAACGGTAACAAAAAGTGCCGACCTCATTTACGGAGGCCGACATTGTAATTACGTAATAAACTTCATTTTTCGTCGTATTTCTCTCTTATTTCATCTTGTTATCCTCAATAAACTTCATCTTGTTTTTGTATGGAGGTTTTATTAAATATATTTTATTAAATGATATGTTAGCAATTATATATTGGGTTGGTTCAAATAAAAATTAGTGTTGGTGTGAGAACCATATTTGATGCTATATATTTTTAATTGTGTATGATGCTATATTTATCATCACATGGTGTTATCATTTTCACATATACCAATATAAATTGTGTTGTTATTTTTAATAAAATGCATCCACGTTATAAGTAGCACTAAAACACAATCAATAATAACACTACGTACAATTAAAAATAGCGGTTCTCACGCTAAGACTTGGTTCTCATTTGAACCACATCTTATATATATAGAGAGAAAAAATAGAATTGTAACATCTTTTGGAGGAAAAATGATTGAGGTTTTATTAATTGTTTTGTTAGCAATTATATATATAGATAACAAGAAAAACAATACGCTGATNAATCAGTTCATACTCAAAATATAACTCAATTTTAACTGAACTTCATTATCCTCAATATTATCAATATAATTAAATAATATCAATCAATTATTTTTACACATCACATCAACTTTAATTTACTATTCATCGACTCACACAATTTAACTAACTATCACTTCAAATCATATCTCTCTTACTTTTATAACAAATCAACTTTAATTATTTTATTTTAAATATTATTTTAATTTAAAATCAAAATTCCACTAACAACTAACCATAACACTTTTTCAAAATTAATTATGATTAACTAAAAAAACTTATTTTGAGTGGATATATTTGTATACAAACACACCCTTAGAGCATGTTTGTTTATGGAATTTTTCACAAAAATTTCAACATTTTAACCCAACCACTTTTTTTAACTCAACTTTAACTCAACCTCACTATCATCAAAATTATCAATATAATTAAATAATAACAACCAATCATTCATACACACCACATCAACCTTAATTCGCTATTCATCCACTCACATTATTTTAACTAACCATCACTTCAAATCTCTCTCTCTCCTATCAATTTTAATTATTTTATTATAAATAATATTTTAATATAACCACTAACACTAACCATACCACCTTTTTCAAAATTAACCAAACCAAACCAAAAAACTCCAAACAAAACAAAAATTTTTTATAAACAAACATCTCTCTAAGTTTTGTTCAATTGTTGTATTGCTTAACATTTACTTAACTTTACATTTTATTAGTCAAGTGTTTTAAATTACAAATATTATATAAAAGATTTTTTTTAGAAACTACATAGCACGTATATGCCACCCAATACTACAGTTTTGCTATGGAGCCATCGGATGACTCGATTTATAGAGTCATCCACATTTATTCAACAATAATATATTGACACGTGTTCTACAATAAATACAATTTAAACATGTGTCAATATATTAAATAGTGAATGACTCTATAAAAAAACTCATCCGAGGACTCCATAGAATATATTTATCCAATACTATGCCACCCATGTTAGTTATTAGTAAAATGAGATGGAAACATTTTAATCCACCGTCCCGCAAGATATATATAAAAATCGCACACATTCAATGACTCGTATTCAGCAGCCTCACTTGTGTGTTGACCATATAATAATAATTTTTTTGTCAAATTCCATATTTTGACCTATCCCACCCGCCACGCATCACAAATCGCACGTGCTGCCTAACTAAGCTAAACTGCTAATAAGTGCTAAAGATCAAACTCACGCGCACCCCTTTCATCGGCGCGTCCCTTTCTCTCTCTCTAGAAACCATGTCCTCCACCAGTCTCCTCCGCCTCTCTCTCTCCCCTCACAACTCAACTCTCCACCGCCGCCACGAACTATCTCCACTCTACCACCAACGACGTCGTTCGCCGCTCCCACATTCGCCGAAATTGCGTGCATTCAGCCGGATATCCTCGAAAGCGGTCGGGTTTACATCTCCGGGAGAATTCCAGCTGCAGGAGAAGACAGCTCTGGAAGAGGCCGACACGACTGTGCTGCTCGATGTGTCCGGGATGATGTGCGGCGCGTGCGTGGCGCGAGTCAAATCGGTCATCTCCGCCGACGAGCGCGTTGACTCGGTCGTGGTCAACATGTTGACTGAGACCGCTGCGATCAAGCTGAAGGAAGGAGCCGGAGTAGACTTCTCCCGCGCGGCGGAGGAGCTAGCGGAGAGAGTGTCGGCGAGCGGATTCGGTGCGCGGCGGAGGGCGTCGGGGGAGGGGGTAGAGGCGAAGGTGCGGAAGTGGAGGGAGACGGTGGAGAAGAAGGAGGCACTGCTCGTGAAAAGTAGGAGCCGGGTGGCGTTTGCTTGGACTCTGGTTGCTCTGTGTTGCGGCTCTCACGCGTCTCACATTTTGCATTCCGTGGGAATTCATGTCGGCCATGGTCAGAGTTCATCACATTCCCCTTTTCTTCAGCCAATTATCTAAATTCAAAAGGGTCACGTTCTGTGTCTGCTCTTTCAAATGTCTGCTACATTTGGCTGTAGCTTCAGGATTTCAGTTGCTCTGAGCGCTTTTACTATCTTTTGCTTGTGCTTGCGATTTTTTTTTTTTTTTTAAATATGAAGTACTGAATGGTGTTTGTCAGTCCAAGAATTGGTATCAGTCCAATTGAAGCGTGGGCACTTAGTTATTGTTATAATCTTTGTGTAGGATCAATCTTGGATATTCTGCATAACTCATATGTGAAAGGTGGTTTGGCTCTGGGCTCTCTTTTGGGACCTGGACGAGGTTAGTCTGTGAGAGTAAGCTGGATTTTTTAGTTACATGGTGATATCATTGTCTGTCAGTGCACTTGTTCTCCTAAAAATAGTTACATTATGTTTTAGACCTGCTTTTTGATGGATTGAAGGCCTTCAGAAAGGGTTCGCCAAATATGAACTCTCTCGTTGGTTTTGGATCAATAGCTGCATTTGCAATAAGTACGGTAAGAATTAAGAACGAGTTAGACTTACTCTATCATGATGCTTCAAATGATTTTTAGTTTTGTTGTTTATTTTTAGCTGTTGTTTCATTGATCACTTCTCATTTTTGTTAGGTCTCGCTTTTCAACCCCGAACTTCAGTGGAATGCTGCCTTTTTTGATGAACCGGTATGGTCTTTTCTATAATTATGTCTGTAAATCTGATCAATTATTCAGAGTAATAATGACCTTCCATAGAAAACACAATTAACTTACGCTACTGTGGGTAATTTGTCGTATTGCTCATTATAATTAATTGATTTTTAGCATGCAGGTCATGCTTCTTGGTTTTATCCTACTAGGGCGTTCACTTGAAGAAAGAGCTAGGATCAAGGCATCCAGTGACATGAATGAGCTGTTAGTAAGTTTTAACTGTCACCTCCATGTCTCCTACTTGAGCGTTTTCCTACTTCATGATGTGCCTCTTATATGTCTATGCATTGGTTGATGATAGTGTTGTAACATGAAATAGGCTATAGCTCATTATATCATGTAAAACCCTCCAAATCTACATGAATGGGCAATGTACAGACACACATAGGCTGGGAAGTCCACAGTTTATATATATAAACTACCAATCTCCACAAGACACACTGTCATATCATTGAGTGAGTAGGTTTTGATAAATTTACAAGCTGCTAGGTTTGTTCCTCCATGACGACCAGTCGACAACATACTGTATGAACTGTTTCGGGCCGAATGTGGTGTTTATCTAAAAATAATCTGTACTCTTGTCATTGTTATAATAAGCTTGAACTGGTTTGTGTTACAGTCACTTATATCAACTAAATCAAGACTTGTAATTGCTCCTGGGAGTGAGGTCTCTGAGGACAGTGTTCTATGTTCTGATGCAATGTGCATTGAAGTTCCTACGGATGACGTTCGAGTTGGTGACTCAATCTTGGTCTTACCTGGAGAAACAGTGCCTGTAGATGTAAGTAATTCTTCATTTGAAGTTAACTATCTAAAATTATTAAAAGTTAATTTTAATGGTGACAGCACCTTCTGTTGCACCATTCTCTGCTTATGTTACTTCCATGTAAGCAGGGTTAATGTTTTTCAATACTTTTTATGTCCGGTACCTTTCATTTCTTCAAGCATTAAAACCTGGGAATCTGAATTAAATGCTTTATGGTATGAATAATGAGGATGTTAGATCAGACCCTTAAGTGGACTTCGGAAATCAAATTTGTTGGATGAATGTTCTTGTAAGAGATTTAAGGGATCACAAGTTCTTGGGACCAATTATTCATGAACTTGTCTAAACTTTTTATTCTGCTATTCAGAGTATTGGCAGATAATTTTGTAGTTAGATTTTGATAATGTGTGGTACCAGTAATCCATTTCCTGTACGGTTGCTTGCCACTCCTACCTCAAAAAAGAATAGTAACCAACTCCAAAAGAAAGGTCCTTTTGAAAGATAATTTGTAGCCGCGGTTCATTCTTTGGCGAGATTTCAGATTGTGTACTGAATGTTGGTTTAAAATTATATGAATTTACATTTTACACATGTAAATTATGTTTATTTACTGGCTTGTCTGTGCAGGGAAAGGTCCTCGCGGGTCGAAGTGTTGTGGATGAATCCATGCTTACTGGTGAATCTCTTCCCGTATTCAAGGAAAAGGGCAATTCTGTTTCAGCAGGAACAGTTAATTGGGTATGTGGCTACTCAAGAAGAAAAAAAAAAAAGCACCTTTAGGTCCAGGTTTTAGAAGCTCCAGTTGCATTCTCGTATTATCGTTTGAAGCTTAAAAAACTTTCGTGTTATTTGCCTTGTAATTTTTGTTTTACAAGTAAAATTGCTTGTATCCGCTGAGAGAGCACTATTGCTGGAAAATAATTCCCTCAACCTCTTCTTTGCTATATCAAACATCTTCTGCATCTTACATGGAAAATCCTTCTGTGTTTTTATTTTGCACGACACTACTGCCTGATTCTTTCCATACCCTGAAGGTCCATCATAAGCCTAATTAAGATGTTATCCGTTTGTTTTCGCGGGATACATCTTTGCATCAACATAGTAGCTAAATGGCATCGTGTCATCTAGCCCTGCTGTAGATTTTACTAGACTTTTGTCAAATCCTTTGCGAATATGGTTCTACAGTTAGTTAGAATGACGCTTTTCTGGACTTTTCCAGGATGGTCCTCTGAGGATAGAGGCCTCTTCAACCGGTTCAAATTCAACGATATCGAAGATTGTTAGCATGGTAAACCACCCCATGCCTCTTGTGCCATTTGCTCACCGACTGTTTGTACTACGTTATATTTATCGGCTTACAATTCTTGCTCTGGACTTCAATTTTCCTATTTTATTGTTACTGAAGGTTGAGGATGCTCAGGGACGTGAAGCACCTATTCAAAGGCTTGCAGATTCAATAGCTGGGCCTTTTGTTTATAGTGTCATGACACTTTCAGCTGCCACATTTGCTTTTTGGTAGGTCTTTGCATATTCATTTTTATAAGATACTATAGTGAATGTTTCCACTAAGGAGATCCCAACTGAGTGTGCTAATTTACATTCACTTTTATATCCGTTATTCACCCCTCCGATGAATATAAGTTGTCCGGTTTTGCAGTTTTCATGTGTTGATTCAGTTAATTTATATATGTATGTAGCCTGTCTTTATTTATACCCAACATGTGTTTTGACGAACGCAGCTTTTTTATGTCAGGCAGTATATTGGAACTCATATCTTCCCTGATGTGTTGCTTAATGATATAGCTGGGCCAGATGGAAATTCTCTTCTATTGAGCATGAAGCTCGCTGTGGATGTTTTGGTGGGTACTGAGTTTTTAGTAATATCTTGTTCGGCTATCAATTGTCAAATATCAGGCTTACATGCTTATTTTCTCTGGTCTTGTTCCTTCTCTTCTTCCT